CCTCATTGTCTTTTAATTGGAAACAATTTTAGCATCGGATATTCTACAGAGTTTTTTTTTTTCTTCCTGTACAATTTTCTGCGTGTAGGGGTCGAGAGTGCAATTTCGATTTTCCAACGGCTGTTTCTTGCGACTTGCACAAAAATTGTGTTAAATTGTTTCTCGCTTCAATGCTTTTGCACGCTGTTTTAACTTTGCTTCTTCGCCTGTATTTGTGTGTATCTGTGTATTCATCTTCCAATATCTCCATTTTGCAATCCGTCTGTTCGCAATTTTATCGATCACTGTTTCCTATACTTACAAATCGATTGAAGTAAAGCGTACATACCTATTTCCGTGTCTTCATATCTATACCAGTATGTACATACATAAACGCACACACACACATATATATATATACATATAACAGTCTGTTATATCTAGTGAGCTAGCACGATATAAACAGATAGCTACAGAGATGCATATATATGTGTGTGTGTATAGATGCTTTCTATTTATCTATCTATCTCAGTCTGCTCATTATCTAACACTGTTCAGATCTATCTATCTATCTGTTCAGATCTATCTATCTGCCTAACTGTCTATCTGCCTAACTATCTATCTCTCTGTCTATCTCTCTGTCCAGATCTATCTATCTATCTATCTATCTATCACTATCTGTTCAGATCTATCTATCTTTCTATAGAAAAGGTGACAAGAAACTGGATATGCTTCAGGTTACTCAAGATTAAACTCATTGGTCAATAACAAAATAGGCTCAAAAAAAACAAAAAAAGATACACACGCGCATATATATATATATATATATATATATATATATATATATATATATTATGAAATGGACATAGTCCGACAATTATTTTAAGACATTTTCATGTTTATAGTCTTTTTATAGATACAAATCGAACCTGTATCCTATACGGAACCGTCATATATAGGATACAGGTTCGATTTCTGTCGGAGGACGAATATTTTCTATGAAAATTTCTCGGACATTCAAGCCGGTAAATGTTGTTTAATACTGTTTATTATAAAACAGAGAATTTACTTAAATATTTGTATCTATAAAAGGAATGTATAAACATAAAAATGTCTTAAAATAATTGTCGGACTTTGTTCATTTCATAATGTGTGACGTCATTTGTTTACATTTGGATACGCTTTGAGTATGAATATACGTGAGAGATTCATGGAAGATTCTAGTTTAAGGAGGGAATTCCGTCAGAAATTTTCCAACGTTCATTTCGCAAGAAATATGATCTAAGCTTTCGATTTTCTTAAGCCATCATTAGGTTGGATAGAGACAAATTGTATGTTTTGTAGAACTAGTGAATGAAATAACGTAGACAGTGTGGTGACGTAGGCAATTTGTGACGTGTGTGTGTGAGTGTGTGTGTGTGTTTGTGTGTGCGTGCGTGCGTGAGTGCGTGCTTGCGTGTGTGTGCGTAAGTGTGTGTTTATTTTTATATACATTTGAGGAAGCAGGCTCTTAAATTATGGTCGGTTCAATTTATAGAACGTTGTTTTTGTTCTATGAATATTGCTTCGAGGATCATAAATATGTTTTTACTATTTCAATAAAATTAATCGGCAGAAAATATCTACTGTCTTTAATAACATTTTCCTTAAAGAACATTAGCTGCCTCGCTGCACAGTACACACACACGCGCGTACACACAAATACATATATATATATATATATATATATATATATATATATATATATATATATATATATAATGAAAAACAGACCAATTTAAGGTACCATTACAATAATTTATTTCACCAAAATCCTTTTTAAAGGACTCCGGATCATCAGGTAACAATTCCAACAACGATATGAAAGGAAAATATATATATATATATATATATATATATATATATATGTGTGTGTGTGTGTGTGTGTGTGTGTGTGTGTGTGTGTGTGTGTGTGTGTATGTATAGGGTGCGATTTTTTTAAATTGTCGTCATTTTATATTTTTTTTTCATTTCTCACACACACATTGTTTTTGATTTTGTCGTCTGAACAGTATTGTAGTTTCAGTTGATCACCGTCTGTGGGAAAAAGCGTACCATGACATAATTCACCCCTTCTGAAATTTGGATAAGGCTTGGTATACCTCTTGGCATTCGCGCTGGAAGCTCTAATACGAACATTTCATAATGTTTGGGTGTCAATCTGAGGAGAGTACAAGGGATTCAGAAAGAGTTGGACGCGTCTAATGAAGAGTACGAAGGTGTTTGGAGTTGATAACTAGTGATGGCGACGTTATGACTTCATTCATCTTCCCACAGAGCCTCAGACTCAACACAGAGGACTACATCATTGAGGATGTAGTGCTGGGTCAAGCGAGTGGCTGCTGGAAGTCCATGTGTCTGGCAACAGGATACTGCACCATGCCACTAAAGCAGGAGAACCCCGACATGGCTGTCAGACAATTCTGCGACTTCCTCCCACCCTTACACCTGGCCATCTAATTCCCCAAACTGCAACCCCCTTCATTCTTATGTGTGGGGCGCACTTGAGTGAGAGGCCAATAAAACTGCTTGTAACACCAAACAGATTGTCCAGAAAAGATGCAGGAGATTCCGCAGTTATCTTGAGCCTATGGTTGAAGCCATTTTATTGAAGAAATTTACTCTTTACTATTTCAAGATATTTTTGGGAAATATATCTATTTAAATGAGATGTCAATTTATCCATCGCACATACTCTCTCTCTCTCCCTCTCTCTCTCTTTCTCTCTCTCTGTATATATATATATATATATATATATATCCGAATGTAATGAGAACGAAAATAATATAAATCCTAACGTTCACAGAATTAATTCAAAAGAGGGCTCAATACCAAGAGTAGAGAAATAATTATTTAATATAATTTTTACATATGGACAAAAAAAACTTCCTCACTACAAAGAGGTATTCTTGTTTCGATGCGGTTGCATCTTGACCTCGATCTCGAAAAAATTACACATATATATATATATATATATATATATATATATATATATATACAAACACACTCACACACACACACACACATATATATATATATATATACACTTTCTTTTCTTAGAGCCTATTTTAAGCGTGTATGTAAGTCCTTCAATCTTGGTCTTCCTCTATTAGCAAAAAAAAATAACCTTAGCTCCGTGAAAACTGCCTCCCTGTGTGTCTGTAAAAAAATCGGTAGATAGATAGATAGATAGATAGATAGATAGATAGATAGATATGAACAAACTGTGATAGATAAATAGAAATGGACACACATTCATAGATAGATAGATAGATAGATAGATAGATAGATAGATAGATAGATAGATTAACAGATAGATAGATAGATAGATAGATAGATAGATAGATAGATAGATAGATAGATCATATCCGCTAGGTATTGGGGAGTAGGTTATGAATCTGGTGTGATCTTACACAAGATTAGGAATGTATTAAGTCTGAACCACACTAGGCGCCAAGAAGATTCGTGACTTTGTTCTAGAGAAAAGCTAAATCTGCTAAATATTTATATTCGTTTGCCTCGCGGTTAGGAGAGTTACCTGTTTTCTAATGGCGTCAGTCGTTGGCGTTAATTTCAAAGAGTTTTATGTTTTTTTTTATGTTTTTTGCTTCTTTTCTTGTTTTTAATCCTTTCACTCACCCCCTCCATCATCGACATTTCTTCTATTTTCTCTTTTTCTTTCTCTTTCTAAAACACTTCTCGCATAATCAGTCAGCTATGTGTTATGCGTGTTAAACGCGTAGGAAATCCTGTATCTTTCGTTACATCACTGACGAGGCAGATTTTTCCTCCGCAGTAGGTTGCCATTTCTTTCTGCGTTAGACCAGATGCCATCCAAGGCTATAGAACCCAGTCTGTCCTGCTATAGATAGATATGTTATGTGCTTTGCGTGATACGCGCTTAGGAGATCATGTATATTTCGATATATGACTTAATAGGCAGATTTTTTCCCGCGGTAGATTGGCATTTCTTTTTGCGTTAGACCAGTTGCCATCCAAGGCTATAGAACCCGGTCTGCCCTGTTATAGATACATCAGTCATCCAGTTATGTGCCATGTGTGATACACGTGTAAGCGATCATGCATATTTCGATATATGACTGACGAGGTAGATTTTTTTCCCGGAGTCGTTTGTCATTTCTTTCTGCGGTAGACCAGTTGCCATCCAAGGCTATAGAACCCAGTCTGTCCTGCTATTTACCCATATTTGTGGAGGGGAAAGAAGATTCATCCCTTCCCCAAGGTTATTAGCAAGTCAGCCAGTTATGTGCCATGCGTGATACACGCTTAGGCGATCATGTATCTTTCGATACTTAACTGACGAGGCAGATTATTTTCCCGCAGTAGGTGGCCATTTCTTTCTGCGGTTGACCAGTTGCCATCCAAGGCTATAGAACCCGGTCTCTCCTGCTATTTACCCATAACTGGAAGAAGGTATTAACACGTAAGTGAATATAGTGGATTCGACTGGTTTAAAACATTTGCGTACACATTTTATATGCTAAGTATTGCAACTATTCAAAATAAAAAAAAGCATTAACTTTAAAGCAACAAAAATGTGGCTCTACAGAAAGATGCTGAGGATTTCATGGGCCGAGAAATAGCGCAATGACGAGGTCTTAGAGAAAATGGAAACGAAAAACAAACTCATACTTAACGTACAGTAGTGGGAGTTGAAATTTCTGAGTGACGTAATGAGGAAGGACAGCTTGGAGAATCTGATACTCACAGGGTAGATTGAGGGACAAAGGAAAGCAGCTTGTAACATACTTGATGGGCTTGAGCAAATGGATGGTAAAACAGGGTTTGGGAGATATTTATTACTAGCTACAAGGAACAGGAAGATGTGAGGGGCCATGATCGCCTACGTCCTAAAGGAACACGGCGCATGAAGAAGAAGACATATCTCCTGTAATAGTTGCCCCATTCATAGACAAATTTCAATTGCTCTTAGAGTATAGAGAATACCTCGGCATCGATTAATGGTTGGTATGCCATTCTGGTTGACTATTACTCATTTGTAGTGTTTTCATTCCTTACTGGTTATTCCATATTTGAGGTTTTCTGTCAGACTATGTAAAGCGTTAGTTTGTGAATCTAGTGATATAGTGATTGTGATCGGTAGTTTGTACTTGCACTCAATGGAAACAGGTGAATAATGACTGAAAAGGAATAAATTTTTAAAAAATTAGACGATATCCCTAAACAGGGGCAGTGGAACGAGTACATCTAGCCCTGTAGCTTTAATAAAAGGTACATTTCAATATTCTTTCTGGGTTACTGTTATGGTGTAGAACCATAGAAAGATAACATGGACTCGGATATATGGTTAAATAGCATATTCTCGTAAACGTAGTACAAAAGGTAAATGTGGACTGGAGAGTATTTTCTCTCACTGGTGTCCTAACTCACTCATTCACTCACTCGGTGTCTACTACTTGGTGATCGTCACTTGGTGACTCACTTTACTCAGAGTTGGTAGCCATATTATATAGGTGTGGAAGAGTCCATTTGTAGGTAGGTCCCCACAATAGTTAACCGGATCGATATTGTTCTATAGGAATAAAGTGACGCAGCCGACACTGGAGTTTGAACGCAGATCACCAGAGAGCAAACACAGGCGATCCCATTTTGAACAAGTAGATCAGTTGATGATAAATGAAATGTATATATATGGGAATTAACGTGGCATCTAAGTGATCAATATCCGGATTACTTCGGAAGTATGCTTGTCAAACTCTCAGCCTCCGGTCAGAGAGGAACCAAGACGAGGCTATGCCAAAGGGCAGAGTCTCGTCTGGGGTGGTAGACACCTACCCGACCCCATTTATTACGGGGTCTACGGGGCATTTTTGACCGAGCCTACGGGCTCGGATACCCCACAATAAATTTGGCCTTATGCCGCATCCGATCGCGTGGGGTGGTAGTTGAATATCTCACTATACGGAGTACTATTCGGTGGTTACTATTCGAGCGAGTATTATCGAGCAAGAGAGTATCGTGACGACTAAGTGATCGTTATTTCTGTTCCATCCTCTATTGCTATTCGGATCACCATTTCTAGTCTATCCCCTATTAATATTATGATCACCATTTCAAGTCTATCCTCTTTTACTATTTGGATCGCTATTCTCTACTCTATTCACTATACTATTTCTCTATTCGGACCACTATACGGATTACTGTTCGTGCGAGTATTATCGAGCAAGTACTATTAGTGTGAGTGTATTTCGAAGTCGTCTGACACCAGTATTGTTCAACGGCGTTACTATAGTTGTATCTGCGATTACAAAGTCTCTACTACAACAAGAATTACGGAAGTGACAACGAGTATTCGTTGGCATTACAAAAGTGGCAACGAGAGTTCGTTGACATCACAAAATATCTGAAGAAAACCGGAAGCCCCAACGACCGAAATGTTGTGATATCAACAACAAAGATGAGGACAATAATCCGATTATAAATCGTGTAAATAATGATAAGTCCTTACCGCAGTAATTTAAAGAGAAACTTTTTTTTTTTTTTGCTTCGGTTCTTTTCGTTTTTATAGTTTTTCCTTCTCTTTTCGTCGACTTCTTTTATTCATACCCTACATTAATCATTATTACTAATTCTTCATTTAATTTTTTTTTCTCGCTTCTTTTTCATTCTTTTTCATCGACTTCTTTTTTCCCTACCCCCATATTATTTTCTTATTACTTATTCTTTCTTTGTTTTTTCTTCTTTTTTCTTTATTTTCGTTCTTTCTGTTTTCTTTTTTTTCTTTCTCATTCAATTTCGCTTTACTTTTTCATTTGCATTTTTGTTTTCTCATTTCTTTTCATCGTCCTCCTTCTTTTTTTTTTTGCTTTCTTTCATATTCTTTTTGTTTTTAATTACACGTCCTTTGTTTTACTGTTTTGTTTTTTTGTTTTTTACTTTTCCTTCTTTTCTTCCTTGTTTTTCGTTCTTTTCTGTCTTCTGCATTTTTTTTCATTTTTTTTTCTTCTGCCTTTCCGTTTTATTTTCTCCCTTTTTTTATACTGGATCTTCTTTTTCGATCTCAAATTTCTTTTCTTCCTTTCTCGGATTTATACGCCCCGCCATTTTTTCTTTCACTCCGCCCTATTTTCTCATCTTTTAAATAAATTTTCCTTCCTTTCTACTTACACTTCCTTTCTATATTTCTTCTTCTTCTTCTTCTTCTTCTTCTTCTTCTTCTTCTTCTTCTTCTTCTTCTCTCTTCCTTTCTATTTATTCTTTATAGTCGTTCATCCTTTTTCGTTTTATCTTCCACCATTTCTCTCTCATTCTTTTCGTCTTACTTCTTCTTTTCCTTTCTTTTTTTCTTTTTCGATTTCAAATACACTTACTTCGTCCTTAAATTTTTACTCATTTCACCATTTGCTTTTCTTCTTTTTTTTCCTCTCCTTTTCGACTATATTTTCTCCTCTTTTGAAACATTTTCAATTTTCAAACGGCTCATTTATCCTTTGTTCAGCCATCTTCCCACTGCTTACCTCGAACTAATCAAAGACCGCCCGTTGGAGCCTGCAGTAATTAGAGTAGAAATCTCTCCATCGACATTGCGTACAAATCAATGCACGTTTTCTCCCATGCAGAAACTATCGTATCAACTCAACTAAAAATTGCATAAATACATTCAAGTTTACACACATCAAGATAGACAAGTTTATTCAGGTTCATGAAAGTAATGTATCAGCACAAAAGAATACACATAGGAGCAAAGAAACAACAACACATGAGAACACACATAATATCTATCTATCTATCTATCTATATATATATATATATATATATATATATATATATACATACACACACACATATATATATATATATATATATATATATATTTATGATAAAATATAGTTTTAAGATATGTTATATTGATGTGCTCGATATCAGAGATAGAACGTATATAAATATAAAATTGTACATTGAAGTCCATACCCAGCCAGAGGCGACAATCTGTTTCATGCTAAACGCAATCGTCAGGCCATCTAAACAGAATATTTTTTTAACATGAAACGGATTGTCGTTTCTGGGTGTTGACTTCAATCCCTACTTTATATATATATATATATATATATATATATATATATATATATATATATATATATATATATATATATGAAGAAATATAGTCTTAAGGTGTGCTATACTTATGGGATAAAGTGCTCAATATCAGAAATAGAGCGTGTGTAAATGTAAAAGTGAACATTCAAGTCAACACTTAGAGGCGAAAGTCTGTTTCATGCTAGACGCAATAACCATATTTCTAATGCTTGAAGTCTCTTCTCCGTCTGTGTGGTGATTACCTAGCATTCACAGCTATGTAGGATGACTGATATTACATTTACAGTTCAGCAATCTTTTTATCGTTTCTGACGAAAAATTTTTTTCTTAATACTTTGCATAGCTTTTGAAAGGCCTTATTTGTTATCCCAATCAGCCTTCAGTTTTCAGTATCGCACTTTCCGTCTTCTTTTAAAAGCCTTCACATGTTTTTTTTTTTTTTTTAAATTATTTCACCCTAAACAAAGTGATAATTCCACTATGACGCAAGTGGCTAATTGGAGTGAAAGATAACGAGAAGACTTTAAGGGGAAGCGGAAACACAATCCGAAAAGGGATAAATCTCTACCTCTGGTCAAAATACCAGGCAAGAGTGTGAAGTGAATGATAGGGGAACCTATATATTGCCATTATATCTTATGGTATTTGGTGGTCTATGAGTCCTTCCTATTAAAAATTGCAGTATTTTAACTAGACTAGATTTTGAGTCTAGAACATGAACTCTGTGGGAGAGTAAGGTGAAAAATACTGTTTAGATCTATAAAGGATAGGAAATTGTGGAGAGCCATAGTCACCCACTTTCTAAGAGGATATGTCATTAGTTGCCAGCTAGGTATTTATGCAGATTATACTCCCATTTTCCATTTTCTCAGTCGTAAATCCCACAGATCTGACAGACTAAACCTGGCAAGGTCGCCAGAAAAGGACCTCGAATTAATGGTTAACGGGTGGAAAATCGCTTGTAAATTTGAACACTTCTAAAACAAAACTGCTTGGATTTAACCACTACAAAGAACCTTATTTTGCCTGGCTTCACGTTTTCCACTGACATGAAGTAGAGCGACTACATCGAGTCAATAGATGCATCTACTGCTAGGAAAGTTGATTCACTGTGTCGTACATGAAGAAAAAATATGATCAGAATCTATCACGCATATTTACAAATTTGCCATTCGTCTGTGCATTGAATACTGCTGCTATATCTGATCCGGTGCCCCTGCTGTCGAGATTCTTGTCAAAATCCAAAGAAGGATCTGTAACGTAATCGATCCTGACTTGGCATCTTGACTTCGGTCTCTTTCTCTCCGACGTGGCGTGGCTTCCCTCTGTCTTTTCTACAGATATTTTCATGGTAACTGCTCTGACGAGCTTTTCTTCCTGATGCCCCAAAATGCACGAATTTAACAGTGCTACTACATTGGCATCTAAGTCCCAACCATTTACTGTTGAAATAGCTAAATGCAACCGACACTTCTACTCTAACAGTTTCTTTTCTCGCACTTCATACCTGTGGGACACCACCCCGATTTCTTGCTTCCCGGATAACTGCAATGTTCAACAATTTAAATGTAACATCATTCGCCATCTTCTGTCTCCATTTTTTTCTCCTTTCCTCAATCCTCTCTATACTGTGTCTTCTCTTTCTCTTTCACTTTCACTACCTGACCGCCCCCCCCCCGCAACGGTCGGGTTCTAGTGGCATTACCGCCTTGCTTGCATTGAAAAAGAAACCATCAAAACAAAGTCTTTGACGTCTTTGTAAACGTCATCTCGACTGATTCGTACGGCTTATCGTCCTGGGTATGAAGATAAACTACATCCGGCAGCAAGGTCTCTGATCGGAAGATTGGCTGTTTTGAGGCGTCTGGAATCACCTCTTAATTGCTGTACATTTTTATGATAAAATGAGCAGCAATAAATTTATAATAGAAAAATGACAATCAATGTAACAGTAAAAAAATATAACAATATATTTTTAGAGTCAATTTACTAACAATACAACTTATGATCACCAAACTATATAAAAACAAATACGCCTTTTCTCAAAGTATAAAATTATATGCAAAATATATTCAGTTGAACCCATAAAATTGCATTCAAAATATTTAGATTTCGGCAGTATACAACCCATAGAGGCGTTGATATGCCGTTAAGCAAAATCAAGAAGCAATCAACAAAATCATGCAACTCTCTTTATAAAAAATACGTCAATGAAACCTGATCTACAAACTGATTTCTTACAAAGAATATTCAATTCATACGAATCTATCCTAAACGTTTTGTCGGTATTAAATAACCCATTGAAGTTGATATGCCGTAAAACAAAATAAACCAAACTACGGCTTAGTATACAAGAAATGAGAAATAGTTTTAGCTATATTTGGGGAATCAGGTCGATATATCCTAAAATAAGTTATGGAAATCTTTCTTTAATTTTTGCCGTCATTAATTTTTTTTATTTTTGTATTTCATCATTTTTTCTTTTCATCTTTTTTTGCTTTTTGATTTTCATCGCAGTATGCAAGCAGTTTTAATATTCTTCAACCATTAAACAAATAGCATGTATCCGATGTTATTTAAAATCGTTGTCCTTCTCCTTGGGAGTCTTACGCCTATGGGAGCCGTATTGTTTGTTTACACCGTGTAGTAGCAGACGTAATAGTCTAAAGTTGTTGATATTTCTTAGACGAAATACCGCCATTAAAGGCATTATTTCTTTCGTCTAAATAAATTTGTAAGAAAACAAATTATTCATATTTGCAAACGTTTAGCTAGTGTAACGGGCAGTGGAATTGGTGAACTGAGTTCAAATTCCAGTCTCGTTTGTTGCGTTCACTTTCATGAAAATTTCCTTCGGAAAGGCATGAAAATAACTCTTATCCACTTGGCATTGAATAGCCGCGTAAAGTCGACTCCCGAACTTGACTAACGACCATTTTATGAGAAGAAAAAGTGGACTCCCGAACTTGACTAACGACCATTTTGGGAGAAGAAAAATTGGACTGCCGAACTTGACTAACGAGCATTTTTAGGAGAAGAAAAAGTAGACTCCCGAACTTGACTAACGACCATTTTAGGAGACGAAAAAGTGGACTCCAGAACTTGACTAACGACCATTTTAGGAGAAGAAAAATTGGACTGCCGAACTTGACTAACGACCATTTTTAGGAGAAGAAAAACTTTGAACTATGGAGAAAGCAACGTGAAATATATTTCCCAAGAAAAGATCTGTAGAGACACCATGATTATTACATCCTGAAGGCCAACTGATAAACACCTATGCAGATGATACCCCGTTCAAGATAAGCAACGCCTGGCAATTTATCTCTCATCTGAACGAGCTTTAAGGGAAAAAAAGGCTTGTAACTTTGAATACCTGGGAAACTAAGCTAGTATTGATTCCTCATCACTGATCTGACCTTAGGTCATTTTTTGTACACTTGAACTCTCAATGAGGCTCCATACATCGAACGTCTATTTGGGTCGAAAGCTTTCTTTGATTATATGATTTATACTATTTTTCAGTTGAAGAATTTCTTAAGTATTGATCTTCTAGTCAATTTCTTAGTTGTTGTTGATAGGTTCATTGGTCGACTATAGTTTTCCTTACCAGTGCAATGGATATCGACTCGGAATGAGAACTCGGAGAGCAGTGTTCGAATCCCAGCCGAGTTCGTTATATTCACTTACGCAGAAATACCCTGGGGAAAGGTATGCATCCATCCCTTCTCCCTCCAGCTATGGGTTGAATTGCAGGGCAGACTGGGTTCTTTAGTCTTAACTGATATCCAGAAAGAAATGGCAACCGACTGCGGGAAAAATTGCCTGAGCAAGCGTCTGCAATAGGGATTGGCTAGCCACCCAAGGATATATATATATATATATATATATATATATATATCCATAACTACATGTACAAGAATTTCGTTTTTGATAAAAAAAAAAACATATAAAAGTTTTAAAATAACTATAAATACGTAAAAAAAATTACTTTTTCTGCAATATAGCTATTTGTGCTATTTTATAATGCTTATTGCATAAACAATAAAAATACTGAATATTTTTTAGACATTAAAGTATATTTAATCACATCTCTCTGATAGCTGTCACGAACCACAGTTGTATTCGTTAACAAACTCTTTCGCTGGTTTCAGATAATCTCGAATTAAAAAAAAAATTAACAATCATAGAAAAATCAAGATGATTCAAGCCTTTCAACTAATCTCTTATATGATTTATCTCTAACAGCTCAAATCGGAAAAAACTAACTTGTAACATTAAATACATCAAAAACCAAACTTGTATCATGAAATTTCTCTTGTCACATTAAACGGTTAAAATCTCGAACAATCTCGATGATTTAAACGTCTAGATTGAAATCGCCAAAGACTTAAGTTGTTAAATCTGAAAAAAAAGAAAAAAATCATTAG